GTGCGCAGCAAGGCGTGCTCGCGGCGCGTCCGCCTCAACGTCGGGGGCCTGGCGCACGAGGTGCTGTGGCGCACGCTGGACCGCCTGCCGCGCACGCGGCTGGGCAAGCTCCGCGACTGCAACACGCACGACTCGCTGCTCGAGGTGTGCGACGACTACAGCCTGGACGACAACGAGTACTTCTTTGACCGCCACCCGGGCGCCTTCACGTCCATCCTCAACTTCTACCGCACCGGGCGCCTGCACATGATGGAGGAGATGTGTGCGCTCAGCTTCAGCCAGGAGCTCGACTACTGGGGCATCGACGAGATCTACCTGGAGTCCTGCTGCCAGGCGCGCTACCACCAGAAGAAGGAGCAGATGAACGAGGAGCTCAAGCGCGAGGCCGAGACCCTGCGCGAGCGCGAGGGCGAGGAGTTCGACAACGCGTGCTGCGCCGAGAAGCGGAAGAAGCTCTGGGACCTGCTGGAAAAGCCCAACTCCTCCGTGGCCGCCAAGGTGAGCCTGGGCCCGGGGGGGCTGCTGGGCCGGGGGCCGGCCCGTGTCCCCGGGCGAGGGCCGCGGCAGAGGACTCTGGCCTAGTCCCCAGAGGTGAGGAGCGTGAAGGGGTGGTCTGGGGCGAGTCCCCCGAGGTGAAGCCCACCCCCCCCACGTTTCCTGTGTGGCGCCGGTCACCCCGTCGTTCTGTGGCCCAGTACTTGGTTCCCCTACTTTGCTGGGGAAAAGGCTTTGCAGGGACACATGAAAAGCCACCGCAAGAAGGTGGACACTGAAAGATGAGACAGAGCACGGAGGGACACGGGAGACCTGCTGGGATGGTGTCGTGTGGTTCCCTGTGCAGTCCCAGGCCCAGCTGTAGTGGGCAGCCCTGCAGATGTTGATACTTAACTCATTGTGGTGCCCTGCTTGGCCCTGCCAGGCAGGGAAGGGAACCACCTTCCAGACATCCCTGGAGGACGCTGAGGTGCTGTGTGGTAGTTTTAACACAGTAAGAGACACAGGCAGAGACCCGAGGATGGGCATGGACATGTGTGGCATCGCAGCTGTGGATGCTTGTGGGCGAAAGGTCGCCCTGGCTACCTAGTCCTTCAGTTGCTGAGTGTGTTTACTTCAGGAGTGGCCGGGGGCAGCTTGCGGAGAGGCTTTGGCTGTTGGAAGAGAGTGTAGATTTCAAAATAGGAGAGAAAAATGAGGCACTGTGAAAAACAGAGGCAGAGGAGGAGGCGGGAAACAGCCTGAGCCCACGGGCCCGTGTGCCGCTGGGTAAAGGGATTGAGAAGGGCTTGGGGAGGGGCCGGGCCAGGGCAGGAGGCCACTGGCTGTTGAGCAGCTTCTCTGTGTCAGTCTGGGGTTTAGGGTTGCCTGGGAGAGACAAGAGGCTGTCCATGCGGCCAGAGTGCTGGGCTTTGGGAGCCAGCGACCACACCGTGTTCAGGGCTGTCACGGAGGCCACGTGAGGCCCGGGGGAGCCCAGAAAAGAGAGTTGTTGATGTTGAAACCCAGAAAGGCCAAGTTCAGGACCACGTGGAGAACGGCACTCACTCTCTGAGGGTGGGGCCTGAAACAGGGGCAGATAAATAGATTTGTGGCAGAAGGAAGAGGGAGGAGGAAGCTGCACATCAGGCCATCATGTCTTGGCCGGGACTGCTCCTGTCCAGCCTGGCCTCGCACTGCGGGGTCTCCAGGTTCAGTTTTCGCTGAAGGTCCACTGGCAGGTCCCAGGCCCTTTCTGTGGGGCCCTTTCTCCAGATCTGGCTGTTCAAGGAGAGGCCCCAAGGAGAGGATGTGCAGGAGGGGTAGTTGGTAAGGGGGCAAAGGGAGTCCCCCCAAAGAGGACCTAGAGGCTCTTGGGCCTGGCATCCTTCTCGGAGCCCGTGGGCTGCCTCTCTCTATAATCCTGCCCCCGATTTTGTGTCCAAAAAGCCTCCCTCTTAAGACAGAGTCACTCACCCTTAATCAGCTTAGGATCAAAAGACTTATTTTGCTATTTCCAGGCCTGACACACAGGTCCCCCACTCCACACCCATCTAGGCCCACACATGACTCATCCAGCGTTCTGTCCCTAAGACCCGAGAGCCAGGGGCAGGGAACCCGAGACTGTGCCCTCCCGGAGAAGAAGCTGGACAGGGCCAGGCCAGGTTGGCATCTGGCAGCGAGACATGGCCGCTGGGGTTTGCAGGAGGCGCTGTTCGGGACTAGAGAGTCTGTCGCCTCCCCCAGCTTAATCCGCGAGCAGGGACAGCCTCGTGACCTCTCCATGATCCCAGGCTGGGACTGCCGGCTCGTGTTCCTGGCAGATGGACCACCTAGGATTTTTTTTTGCAGCTGGAGCTGAAACAGGGAGGCAGGCCGACTCCTTGGCCCTCAGACTAGAAATGCTGGCTGTCGCTGATCAGACACCCACTGTGGACGGAGTGGAACAGCGTGGCCTCTGTTATTACCCACCTTCCACAAACAGTGAGGCTCAAAGAGGTTAAGTAACTTGCCGGGGTTGCCCAGCGGGAGGACAGGAGTGGCCAGAAATTCAAACCCGAGTTCCTTCCGTCACCACCGTGCCGCTACCACCGTCGCCTCCCTCGTCTGTCTCTTCCACTCTTACCCCTACAATCCCATCTCCACATGACAGCCACAGTGAGATTTGCAAAATGTAAATTGGATCACATTATTCATCTGCTTAAATCCTCCAGAAGCTCCCTTCACACTCAGAATGAAATCCAGACCTTCCGTCCTGGCCTCCGAGACCTCTCTGAGCTCATCTCTTTCTCTCCTCTTGTCCACTTGGCTCCGGCCCCACCGGCCTCTTTGCTGGTCCCTAAACAGGCCGGGATTTATCCTGCCTCAGGACCTCTGCACTTGCTGTTCCCGCTGTCTGGATTGCCCTTCCCCAGCTTGTCCCCTGACCACCCCCTTCTCCTCATTCCGCATTTGAGCAGGCCCCTGTTCAGACGTCCCCTTCTCAGAGAGACCTTCCACGAGCCCTGTCAGAAGCAGCATCCCTCCCCCGGCTTTTGCATCACACAATGTCTTTCCTGCACAGGCCTTCAGCGCCATCTGAAATGATATTTGCTTCCTGGTGTGTCTGTTTCACACCCACAGGAATGTGAGCACCGTGAATTGATTCTCTGCTCTGGTCCCAGCACCCATCGTGGTGCCTGGCACAGAGGAGCTCCAAGTAGCTGCATGTGCAGCGCATGAATGAAGCAATCACCAGTCAGTCACTGTGTCTCGGGGCTTGGGGACCTGCCGCTCCTTCTCACCGCGACTCAGTTCCCCTTGCGGCTGGCCTCCATCCGTCCTCTGCATTTTGCCCACGCCACACCCACCCGCCCCCCCAGCCTGGATACCTTGCTTGTCAAAACAAGCGAGGCCTGTGGAAATGTCTCCAGGTCTCCGGGGGGAGAGGACCGAATGGGGGATCATTTCCAGGTGGATGTGATGTCCTGAAAGGGCTGGATCTCACGTTTCAAAGCAAGGAGGAACTCGGGGCTGCCTGGCTCCACTGCATCTCCAGTCTTCCCCCTCAGGCGACATCTTCATCTTTCCACCTCCCAGCCTCCTATCCATAAAATGAAGAGGAAAGACCCGCCCCATAGGGTCATTAGTCAAGTGTTGTCTGTCCAGACTTCATCCAGTGCCTAGCACACCGTGGGTGGGTGTTGATATTGTAAGTGATAAGGCCCGAGTGTGGTGGCTCACGCCTGTAATCCCAGCACTTTGGGAGGCCGAGGTAGGCAGATCGCTTGAGCCCAAGAGTTCGAGACCAGGCGGGGCAACATAGTGAGACCTCATCTCTACAAAAAAAAATTTTTAAAAACATTAGCTAGATGTGGTTGCACATGCCCGTAGTCCCAGCTACTCAGGAGGCTGAGACTGCCCGAGCCCAAGAGGTTGAGGCTGCCTTAAGCCGTGATTGTGGTGATCATGCCACTATACTGCAGCCTGGGTGACAGAGTGAGACTCCACTTCAAAAAAAAAAGTTACACGATACAGAGCCCTTTCCAAGGGCTGTGTGGGCTGTGTTGCCGAAGACCCTTTTCTTCTGATGGCCGAACCAGGAACGGAGCTGCCACTGTTAATAATTGATGAGATTTTCTGGCAACTGGGAGACCAACCCAAGCGCAGGCCCTAGACTTTGCCGTCAGGGGAACGAAAATCAAAAACCATTAGGCAAAAGGCAGTGTGATTGATTCTTGTTTAGAAGATGGGGTCAGCTGCACTGGGGTGACAGGGTTGTGTTGCAGAGGCCACCACTGCGTTGTTGCTCTCTTGGAAAACTCTGCAGGCCCTTCTTAGTAGGGGAGGGGCACTGGTGGGCCAGGCCAGGAGTACCTATGTTCCCCGGAATTGTCTCAGGGCTAAATCCTTGAGATAACTCTCTTTTTTCTTTTCTTTCTTTCTGTGTTTTTTTTTTTTTTTTTTTTGAGTCAGGGTGTCACTCTGCCACCCAGGCTGGAGTGCAGTAGCCTGCAACCTCATCTTCCTGGGCTCAGGTGATCCTTCTGCCTCAGTATCCCAAGTAGCTCGGACCACAGGTGCATGCCACCACACTCGGCTAATTTTTTAATTTTGTTGTAGAGACAAGATCTTGCTATGTTGCCCAGGCTGTCCTGGAACTCTTGGGCTCAAGCAATCCTCCTGCCTCAGCTTCCGAAAGGGCTAGGATTATAGGTGTGAGCCAATACGCACAGCCTTTGAGATAACTTTCTAATTTCCAGAGTAGCTGTTGTTTACTGAGCCTAGCTCTGATTCCTGGAACTTTATACCTCCTAACTCATTGAAATCCCTCCAACAATCCTGTCAGGTTGTGTGCCAGTCAGGGATGCTTTGGGCTGCATGTAGCAGAAGAGAAAACTCAAAGCAGTTTCAATGAGGAGGAATGCATCATCTTACAGAACACGAAGCTCAAGGTAGTTGGTCAAGGTTGAGTTGGTGCAACAATGCCATCACGATCCCAGATTCTTTTCAGCTGTCTGTTCCTCCAACCCCTGCTGGTGGCTTGGGCCTCATGTCACAAGATGGCTGCCCAGTTCTAGCCCTCAGATGTAGTAGATACAGTAATGTTTAATCCTCCTGTGCTGCACTTTTTTTCTTCTGAGAGGAAACCTTTTCCCAGGAGCACTAGCAGACTTCTTTTCGAATTCCATTGGCCAGGGACAGGTCACATGCTCATACTCTCGCCCCAGGGGACCCCAAGAAAGCAAGTGTCTGGCATTTTCAGATGCGGGTGGAAAAGGATTTGATGAGTGGGACTAAGATGCTTTTCCAGAAGAGGAAATGCAGGCTCTGAGAGGTGCAGTCACTTGCCTGAGCTCACACAGCAAAATGCTCAGTCAACATTTGTCGAAGGAATGAATGTGGCAGAACCAGGTTTGTCTGGTTCCCAAGCCTGTGTTTCCAAACCTGGAACCTTGGGCAGCTTATTTAGGCTCTCTGAGCATCAGGAGGAACCCTTATCTGCCTAATGGTGTTCATGGCCATGCCTGCCTTTCAGGGCTTGA